ATGAAAAAATATCAGAGGGGCAATTGGAAATGTAAAGAGAGGACATTCAATTCATGAATATAATGAGAAGTACTACAGAACTGAAAAATGGACATTACATTGACTTACCTTTCAGAGAAGAGGAACCGGTCTTGCCAAATAACCGCTGTGTTGCAGAGCAGCGACTTCAAGGCCTGAAGAGGACATTTGAAAAGAACATCAAGTTTAAAGAGGAGTACACCTCATTCATCAATGATATGCTGGTTCAAGGTTATGCTGAAGTTGTACCCATTGAACAGCTGGAACATCACCCCACCAAAGGAAAGCTGAGGGTTGTATATGACTGTGGAGCCTCATACAAAGGAACATCTCTGAACTGTCAGCTCTTGCAGGGCCCCGATCTCACCAACACTTTTATGGGGGTCCTCATACGCTTCAGAAAAGAGCATGTCGCAGTCATGGCTGCCATCCAGGCCATGTTTCATCAGGTGCAGGTGCCTGATAAACATATGAACTTTCTTCGCTTTCTTTGGTGGCATCAGGGCAACACTGACCAGGAACCAGCAGAATATCAAATGAGGGTACACTTGTTTGGAGCTGTTTCGTCCCCCAGCTGCGCCAATTACGCCTTGAGGCGAACTGCAGAGGACAATGCAGCTCACTTCCCTCCTGAAGTGATCAAAACAGTCAATCACAACTTTTATGTAGACGACTGCCTGAAGTCTACAGCCTCGGAGGGAGATGCAATTAAGCTTGTAAAGGATTTGACTCTGCTCTGTAGTCAGGAAGGATTCAACCTCCAAAAATGGGTGACAACCAGCCGTTGTGTCTTGACGTCAATCCCAGGTGACATCAGAGCAACAGAGATGAAAGAGCTGGATTTGGACACAGATCACCTGCCTATGGAAAGAGCACTTGGACTGCAATGGTGCGTGGAGTCCGACCAGTTCAGCTTTAGGACTTCATTACAGCCACGCCCACAGACCAGGAGAGGTATCTTGTCGGTGGTCAGCTCTCTGTATGACCTTATAGGATTTTTGGCTCCTTTTACAATGCCAGCCAAGTTACTGTTGCAGGAGCTTTGCCGGCAAAACCTGAAGTGGGATGAACACATTTCCCCCTCCTTCTCCAAACAGTGGTCTGATTGGCTGAGCGACCTCCAAAGGCTGAGTGTATTCAAGGTGGAACGCTGTATCAAAACCCTGAACTTTAAAACATCTGTAAAAGCACAAATTCATAATGTTTCTGATGCCAGTGAAGCTGGTTATGGTACAGTGTCGTACCTGAAACTGGAAGGTGGCAATAAGGTGCATGTTTCATTTCTTGCTGGAAAGGTCAGAGTTGCACCTCTGAAGCACATCATTATTCCTCGTTTGGAGCTCACAGCGGCAGTCCTCGCTGTCAGAATGGATGGAATGCTTCAAAGGGAACTACAATGGCAACTGGAGAAGTCAGTGTTTTGGACCGATAGCACGACTGTCATCAAATAAATCTCTAATGAAACCAGACGTTTTCATACGTTTGTTGCTAACCGAGTCACTGTGATCAGAGAAGCTACAGATGTTGACCAGTGGAAGTATGTGGGCTCCAAGGCCAATCCTGCTGACGAAGCCTCACGTGGATTAAGAGCCGAAGAATTTCTCACACATTAAAGGCCCAGAATTCCTGTATTTGCCTGAGAGTGAGTGGCCTACACTGGAAATGGATTCAGTGATTCCCACTGATGACCCGGAGGTAAAAAAAGAAGCAGCAGTGAATGCCACTCTTAAGGATTCAGAAAATCCAACAGACCATCTCATCAACTACTTCTCATCTTGGAAGAAGCTTAAAACGTCTGTTGCCTGGTTCCTTGAACTTAAAAGACTTCTGTTGCTTCTGAGTCAAAAGAAAAAGGAACTTAAAGCTACCGAAAGTGACAAGGATGCAGGAGTTAAAAGTACAGTTGAACAGAAACTTAAGAGCTTCAAAACCACACTTGGTGGAAAACATTTGACTTCAGAAGATTGTGATGAAGCAGAGAAGGCAATCATTCATTTTGTTCAGAAACACAGGTTCAAAAGTGAAATTGCCTCCCTCAAACATGGCTCAAATATTGTCTCTAAGGACAGTCCACTGTACAAGCTAGACCCCATACTGGAGGATGACATTCTCAGAGTTGGTGGTCGTTTGCAGAAGTCTGCATTACCATCAGAAACAAAGCATCCTGTTATTCTTTCCAAAGACCTGCATGTCTCCCAGCTCATTTTACGCCATATTCATCAACCACTAGGACACGCTGGGAGGGACCACATGTTGTACAGACTTTGACAGAGGTATTGGATAATTAATGCCAATTCAGCTGCAAGAAAGACCATTACAGAATGCATGGTGTGTAGACGGCACAGAGGAAAACTTGGGGAACAGAAGATGGCAGACCTGCCTGAAGAGAGTTGTGCCAGACAAGGCTCCTTTTACTACAGTGGGAGTTGATTATTTTGGCCCCATAGAAGTGAAAAGAGGAAGAAGCCTTCTAAAAAGGTATGGAGTGATTTTCACTTGTCTGACCAGCCGTGCAGTACACCTGGAGGTGGCACATTCCCTTGATACAGACTCTTGCATTAATGCCTTGAGGAGATTCATTTGCAGAAGAGGCCCTGTGTCAACTTTAAGATCTGACAACGGCACAAATTGTGTTGGAGCAAACAAGGAGTTGAATCAAAGTCTTGCTGCTTTGAATAATGCAAAGATCCAGGATGCCCTAATTCAGGATGGAATTAAGTGGAGCTTTAATACGCCAACAGCCTCACACCAAGGTGGCTTTTGGGAGCGTCTCATTCGATCAGTAAGGAGAATACTGACCTCTGTTCTTGGACAACAGGTTTTGGATGATGAAGGCCTGCAGACACTGCTTTGTGAAGTAGAGGCAATACTAAACGACAGACCCCTCACAAAAGTGTCTGATTACCCTAATGACCTTGAGGCCCTCACCCCAAACCATGTTCTTCTGCTGAAGGGAATACCCATCTTTCCCCCTGGACTCTTTGAAAAGAGTGACCTGTACATCAGAAGGAAATGGAAGCAAGTACAGAATATCGCACAGTTGTTTTGGAAAAGATGGACATCTGAATACTTACTTGTGATGCAAGAAAGACAGAGATGGGCAGCCCAAAGAATAAACTTCTCCCCAGGAGATATTGTCATCATTGCCGATGCTACAGCTCCAAGAGGATCCTGGAAGATGGGTTGAGTTGTGAGTACCAAGTCTGACTCCAAAGGATTGGTCCGCTTTGTGTGCATCCAAACCAAATCCAGCGTCTTGGAGAGACCTGTGACGAAGATCTGCCTGCTGGTGGAGGCCACAGAATAAGATCATGGACAATTCTATCTATTTTCTCTTCCTATCCTGTCTTCTTACCATCTGTTTATCTGAACGCTCTCAGTTTGTACGTGTCAATGATGAATCTTCCACGCAAACCAAAGTTAGCCATGGAGTGCCACAGGGCTCAGTGCTCGGACCTATTTTGTTCACATTATATATGCTTCCGTTAGGCAATATTATAAGGAATCATTCTGTAAACTTTCATTGTTATGCGGATGATACTCAACTATATTTATCAATCAAGCCTGATGAAATTAATCATCTAAATAAAATTCAAGACTGCCTCAAGGACTTAAAAACGTGGATGACCTTAAACTTTTTGATGTTAAACACGACCAAAACTGAAGTTATTGTACTTGGCCCGAAGAATCTACGAAACAAATTATCTAAGGATATACTAACTATGGATGGCATTAATTTGGCCTCCAGTGAGACTGTAAGGAATCTTGGTGTTATATTTGATCAGGATTTATCCTTTAACGCCCACATAAAATCAATTTCAAGGACCGCCTACTTCCATCTACGTAACATTGCAAAAATCAGGCATATCTTGCCTCAAAACGATGCAGAGAAACTAGTCCATGCATTTGTTACTTCAAGGCTGGATTATTGTAACTCTTTATTATCAGGGTGTACCAAGAAGTCAGTCAAGTCGCTTCAGCTGATTCAAAATGCTGCAGCTCGTGTACTAACCAGAGTTAGGAAAAGGGACCACATTACTCCTGTTCTGGCTGCCTTACACTGGCTCCCTATAGAACACAGGATAGAATTTAAAATTCTTCTTCTCGCCTACAAAGCCCTTAATGGGCAGGCGCCATCTTACCTTAAAGAACTCATTATACCCTACTGTCCTACTAGGGCATTGCGTTCCAAGAATGCAGGGTTGTTGGTTGTTCCTAGAGTCTCTAAAAGTACAATGGGAGCCAGAGCCTTTTCTTATCAAGCTCCACATTTGTGGAATCAGCTTCCAGTTTGTGTTCGGGCGGCAGACACCCTATCCGTTTTTAAGAGTGCGCTTAAGACCTTCCTTTTTGATAAAGCTTATAGTTAGGGCTGATTAGATCCAGCCCCTAGTTTTGCTGATATAGGCTTAGTTTGTCGGGGGACATCTTACTTCTTCCTTCTCTCTGTCTATACCTGTGTACTCTCATGTTCTGATTAACCCAGCTTCCCCAAATGTCTTTCTTTTTGGTGTCTATATACGCCGGGATCCGGAGTCATGGATGATCCTGCGCTCCTCTGTCCTGGATCGCGAGCCCTGGATCTTGAGTCGTGGCTGTGGTCCTGGATCATAGGTCCTGGATGGATATCCTCGTGGATTCATCTTCCTATTATACACACATGCATTTCCAAACATTTGGACTACCTATGTTGCAAATGTATTATCTTTTCAATTTACACACGGCATCTATTGCACGTCTGTCCGTCCTGGGAGAGGGATCCCTCCTCTGTTGCTCTCCCTGAGGTTTCTCCCATTTTTCCCTTTAAACTGTGGGTTTTCTCCGGAAGTTTTTCCTTGTACGATGTGAGGGTCTAAGGACAGAGGGTGTCGTATTGTCATACTGATATTTTGTACAAACTGTAAAGTCCACTGAGACAAATGTAACATTTGTGATATTGGGCTATATAAATAAACATTGATTGATTGATTGATTGATCTTTCAGTGGATACAGAGAAGGTGACACAGAAGACACTATGGCTCATGGATAGAGAGAATGGCTCCCTTATATGTTTTACATAAGGGTAATTGTGATTCTCACAATTAGGGGCCGGAATGTGGAAGCTCTTCAGTATTTTTCACATTTATTTAAAGGTCCCATGTCATGGCCATTTCCACTGATCATAATTCCATTGTTGATGTCTACTAGAATAGATTTATACTGTGCAATTTTCCAAACTCACATTGTTTCGCATACAGCATCTCTGTAAACTACGTGTATTCACTCTCTCCACTAAACGGCTCGTTGCAGCTCTTGCCCCCCCTCCCTGTGAGCCCAGTGTGCTCCGATTGGTCAGCTCGGCCCCTCTGTTCTGATTTGTCAACCACCAGAGAGGCTCTGCCCCTGTTGACATCTGCCGTAAAGTGGTTTAGCGGGTACTTAGCCCATTTAGCCCATTGTGTTTTTTCGGCTCTGAGCGGAGTAGCAGAAATGAAATGGCGTCAGTAAAGCCATATATGTACGAACCGGAGTCCGACCCAGAGAGTGAAACGGACCGTGATGGACCTGATCCACCGTCCCAAACAAGAATACAGCAGGCGGTTTCACAGTGGAACGTTTTAATTTTGTATAGCTGCTACATTTCAGATGTAATGTTAGAACGTCATCATTTATCTACATCACAGTAACAAGTGTGTCCGCTGACTAACCAAACTTTCCAACTGTTATTTAGGTGCACGTGTGGAAACTGCGCAGTAATGCCTACCGAGGTGGAAGACCTCTGTTGCAGGGAGATTAGAAAGGTGACAGTGTAGTGCCGATGAAAGGGAGTCGGGGGCGGTGTGTTTAGAATCAGGTAAAATACATGTCTGCTCTGTCTGACAAGCTAGGAATGACAAGCTAAACCTAAGAGCACACACTAAAGGGTCCGTGTGGCAACACTATACCAAAGGTGAATTATGGTCAAAACAGCGTGTCACCACAACAAATACAAAAACACCAACAGTAGCACACAACATTATATACACCATACATACTTGTCAAGTCAATAGACTATATGCCCTTTTATTTATTCTATAGTAATTTAATGTTTATTTTGTAAACCTCGCCATAGTTGGATTTAATTGCTAAACGTATTATGTTACAAATATCTTATCCTCCTATAGGTTTTAACACGAATGCACAAAGTCCCAGAAACCATTGTGTGCATGGTTGACCACCCCAGACTAGAACCAAACTGCCTCAATCCCTACACCCTGCAGAACCTCCACAATATTTATCGGTTTGATTATGGACCTTTGAGGCGTAGAACTGAAGAAGAGCAAGTTATTTTTAGCTATAATAAACTACTACTGTATTAGATGAAAAATCAAATAATGGTTTGCTATATATGAATGATCTAGGAGCAAATAATTCAGGGAAGAAAGGCTATCAAGTAGTTCCATCAAACTTTATTTTGATAAATGTACAAATTGATCATATGTATATATACACACTGTATGAGATAAGATGGACCTTTATTAATCCCTGTGGGGAAATTCAGTTGTTCAAGCAGCCAGAGGGTAAGGGTGAAAAACAGGACAGCACATATATGTTATCATCCATTCCTCCTCTTATAGGCGTTTTAGGCATCTGGTCTATCGCAGCTTCGTAAGCTGGTGCTGGGGCTTTTTGGGACGAGGAATCAGAGTGGTCATCCTGTCGTGTGTGGTCCGCCGGATAAGCCAGGAGTTCCCTGATCTGGCTGGACAGTACGTGGGCTTCCGACCGCCCCTAGACTAAAACCTGAGACATGGCGGGCTACCACTTCCTCCTTTGAGGGCCTGTCAAATTGAGTGGACAGGTCCTTTGGGATGTTGATTTTATTCATCTCCTCCACAAAGGGTGTTGGGTCCTCAAAGACTTCTTCAAACACCAGCCTCATCAGCTCACCCACGTACACTGAAAAATATAACATTCATATAATTAATTATTTGTATACACTTATTCATTTCTCTTTTATTCTTTCATTGTACAGATAATTCAGTGTAATTCAGTGTTCAGCATAAACAGCCAGCACGCCTAAAATTACACCCAGAAAGAGAATCCCACCTGAACAAGCTAGAAGTCCACAATGGTGTTGCTTCCCAGGTGCATTAGTGTGTAGCTCCCAAACTTAGCTGAGTGGCCTGAAGAAAATATAATACAGGAGGTTTCAAGACTTTAACAGAATTTCAATGGATAAGTTCGATGAATTGTAATATACACCAGTAACTCTAGCACTAGACTGTCTTGTCTGTTTCTGCTTACCTGGAAAGTCTGCTCTCATATCTCCTGCAACTGTGACCTTTCCCCCCTGGTGGTGTAGTTGCTGGAAAATCTTCAGCTGATCAGTTTTCCACTTGTGGATAATAGCAGGCTCCAGATAATGCCTAGCATGCCTCCTGAAGGTCTCATACTGGAAGATCTCCAGCTGCATGGCTCTGCATATCTATGAATAAATAGAAAAACAGGACAAGTATTTGAAAAAGTCCACTTCTGTCATTTTTCATATGCTATGGATGTAAGATGGTAAAATACCTTTTTTTAGTTGGAAGAAGGAAGCACCAGTGAAGTATGTAGCAGCAGATAATTGTAAGTTGCCAACCGGGGTACTTCCAATGATGGGCTGGCTCTCCCATTCTCTGAAGTAAGTGCAGTTTGGACAACGCTGTTTGAACGCCACAAAAGTCCCATTTTTTCGTTTTTGGACATCACAGTCTATCTTACAAAACGGAAATTTTTCAAACAGCTGTCCGAGGCAGCTTTCAAACACAATGTACTTTGCGTCACTGTGCGTGGATCGTGTCTGAAGTCTAATGTAACAAAACAAAATTAACAATACATGTTAGATGTCAACTCTGAACAACAGTAATAGTAATGTGTACCAAATATACCAAACTTACGATACGTCAGATTCTTCTACAGTATCATCAGGGTGGTAACTCGAATCCAGAGTCTCTTCAAATTCAATCGAAGTCTCTCCTTGTTCCTGCTCCAACTCTAGTCGAGGTCTCTTGCTAGGTCCCAATCCTGGGCCCTTTATTGGTGTAGAGGACAAGGGGATTTCTGTGTAGGTGGAAGTTTTAGTGCCAACACTTTTGAAAGACACCGTGGCCTGGATGCCTGTTAATAAAAAGGGAAAAGTGCATAAATACTATGTACATTAGATAAGACACTAATACATTGTAAAAGGCCAACAACTTGTGTACATCTGACAGATTAATTCATGAAAAATTTACAAACTACAAACAGCACTGTATTTCTTGTAGTCAACATAACAGTATTTCTGTGATATACAATAATATCAAATAAGGTTTTATTTATAGAGCACATTTAAAAACGATTTTTGGTCGAGCCCAAGTGCTGTACATGTAATAAAAGCACAATTAAGGTAATGTATCTGTGATTTGTCTGTTATAGTCTACCTTTGCTTCTCACGTGTGCCGATTTCAGTGTTCCCCGGGCCAACTGTGTAGCAACAGAAATGGCGGACACTTTACATTCCACTGTCTGTGTTCCCACAGACCGTGTCTCAACCCTCTGAGTTCCCACACAAACAGTCTGTGGACGGTCTGTTTGACATCCGACTGTACTGGAGCGGTGGGTATTGTGTTCCTGCTGTGATGTACTCTAAGAAAGATACACATAGTATTCATACAATTAATTTTGTATCCGAGGAAAACAGTCAATTTCATAAAAGCAACACTTTTACAATGTTCTACAGATAGTCTGCTACCTTTTCCCATGTAGCGTAATATTTCAGACTCTTTGTAGCTCAGTAGCATTAGCTGCTAGGACCGCCAACTTCAATGTAATTATGTTTGGCGACTGGCCGTACATAAGCCAGAGTATACTGTCTATGAGTATTTCATGTGTGTTTGCAGACGAAATTCTCCAGCTATGATTATCTATCAGTAATCAACACAGTTAGCTTGCCAGCTAATATGCTAACCTAATATGCAGTTTAACAGCTAGTCTAGGCTTAGCAAGAACATCTTACAATTGCAATATTATACAGTTAGTCTGCTACGTTCGGTCATTCATTCATTGTAGCTGGCATGAAAACAATGTTTTTCATAACATCTCTAGGTTAGAGCTTCTAGCTTATTAATGGTAGCTCGGTAGAATACACGAACGGCAACTGTAATTACTGACCGTACGGTTAAATCACCCGGAGTATACTGTCTATGAGTATTTCGTGTGTGTTTGCAGACATTCTCCTGCTATGAGATACATGTAAGGCCATGTGCTAACATCGGTGTTGAGGTCTGGGAATGCTAGGTAGCCCTCGTGTTTACCTCGGTAGCATAGCATTTACAGAGTCGTGGTAGATACATTGTTTGTTTTAAACAGAATAAATACACAAACCACAATGAATACTTACAGGTTGTGTACCCGAATCTCCCACTGGTCCAAACAAAGTAGGAACAGCATCGTCCTCCAATATCAGCTTTACAGCAAGTCCGAAGCTAAGGTCCGTGAAATGCCGCGCACACACAACAGTACCGGCTGGTAAATCAGCTGGAACAGTGTTAAAAAGGAATGTCAACCACTGACTTCGTCGTGGTTCTGCCTTCGGTACTGCAAACATTGTGGATTTCTCCACACAATACAGGGAACAGACCCTCCGCGACATGACTGGATAGAGCTTTGAAAAGAAGCAGGTTTTACGACACTTAATATGGTCGACTGGCAGAGGAAGTGACGTCACGCGGTGCAGCTACGTCACGCGGGGCAGGAAGTAAACAATGGAAACTGAGAAATCTCCAACGAGGCTTTTGGGCGAGGTATTTTCTGTGTTAGAGTTTACTCGCTACAGGGTGTACTTTGAGGGTTTTGACTTTGCAGACTGTTTACATGCATAAAACACTTCATAACACACAAGGGGACGGGCAATAACCGGAAAAGCATGACATGGGACCTTTAATGTATTTATTTGTTATTTTTTGTTTTGTAGAATTAATTAATTTACAGCCATATTATTTAAGTTGTGTTCCAGCTAAAATGTTTTTATTTTGAAGGTGATGGGTAAATGTTCGCACACAGCTGGGTTTATTTAAGTCAATCAGGGCACAGCAGCAGTCTGTGGGCACCGGGAAGGTCTATGGTTTTTTACCAGTATCAGGGCTGAGTTCAGCAAACATTTCAACACCTTTTGCTGTATTGTTCTTGCCAAGGTGAAGCTAATAAATACCACAAAAACGTTGATGCCTTGTCTGGACAATGGACTCATTACCAACTCATGATATGCGTAAGATCCACTATACCTGGTGCCTCAGTGGCCTTTTGAAGTTTTATTGTTGTTGACAAATAGCCACTACAGGTAATATTTAAAGAGCCTGTGACAGCCTCCAAACAACTGTTGTGCAATGAAATATTGGGCTACTAGTAATCTCGAACCGTCAGTTTAAAAAAGAAGGTGCGATACCATTCCGATAAATATCAATAATTTCGAACATCGCGGGGAAATTCCTTCGACTCATTTTGAAGTTTTGGGGGAAGCCGGAAGTGACGTCAATGCGGGAACGCTTCACTGTGCGGCGAGAGAGCCAAACACGGACAAAGTGTGTTGTCATGTGTAGAAATGGTGAATTACTGAGTTTAGGCACGTTAATAACGTTTTAATGAAGTTGACTACAGTATATTGATATTTGTCAGTGCTTTCATGTCAATTCGGCGAACATAAACATAAATGATCGTGGTGAAGATGATGATTAAATTAGGATTACAAATCGGTAGTGAGAGCTTCTGAATTTCCTCCCGTCGGATGTGATATAAAAACAAATCGATTATTTTTGTAGTTGTAAACTCAAGTGGATGAAACTACATTTATTAGTGCTTTCATGTCAATTCGGCGAACATATGACACATTAAATGATCGTGAGGATGATTTAAAAATCGTTTGTTTGAGCCGGTCTGCATTTCCTGATGAGAAAACAAACCGATGCTTTTTGTAGTACACCAACATGCATTAAACGTGTGGTTTTTTTACCACAATGTTGGGGAAATTAATGGATAAAATGCACGGATTATTATTATTATTATTATTCCCACTCCGATCGGGACACTAGGTCCACCGTTTCCTGGCTGGGTGCAGTGGCGGACTGCCCATCGGGACGAATCCCGATAGGCCGGTACCGAAGTGGGCCGGTCGGATAAGTCACTAGCACATCCCCCACTCCCCCCGTTGACAATTTACTAGCGGTACCGAAGTGGGCCGGTCGAGAGTCCCGGGATGATTTTTAGTCCCAGTCCACCACTGGCTACATGACCATATGATCGCCCATATTGACGCACCTAATTCCTAAACTTCTAACAGATACAACATAAACCGATCCTACAGCCTCATATGAGCTCTCAGACACGTTCAAAATTAAACTGTCATCGCTGTCTGAGCTTGCTGCTGTGTGCGCCATCGTGCATTTACATGCAGATGCTGGCATCCTGAACGGTGCAGCTGGAGCGCTGTGCCTGCAATGACGTCACACATAATTTGGCGGGACTTGAAGAATCCCCGAGAAGATCCAGAAAATGGTCAACATTGAAGGGCAGATTAATGGTTATCAAAGTACAAATATCCAAAATCAGTTCAGTAACGGTTTTCATAGGGACAATATTTACTCAAATTGATGGGTTTGGATGATGGGGGAAACTCGTGTCACAGGCTCTTTAAATCAGTACATTAAATGGCATATTATTCAATCCATGTATTTTTATTAATGCCGTCAAAATTATCGCGTTAACGGCGGTAATTAATTTTTTGAATTAATTGCGTTAAAATATTTAACGCATTTAACGCATGTGCAGAATGGCCCGCCCCATACATCCCACCAGTGGTAGTGCCAGAGTATGGCTGGGGTAGGCTACAGCCATACCAAGAAATGGGTCAAGCAGCCGTACACCGTGTAGGTGTTGCTAAGCTTCCTGTACTGAATATCATAGTCTATTGCCTTAATCAATATCTAGCCAACTCTAAAATACCACATATATGCAATGGCATGATAATATTATTGTGAAAAGTGGGGTATTCACCTGGTGTTTCCAGAAACAGGCATGAAAACGGGTCAGGGGTGAAAAAGGTGAGAAGGATATTATCCCTCTAGGGGGGTCCGGGGGCATGCTCCCCCGGAAGCACATTTTGAATATTCCATATTTTAAAGCATCAATAGGATGCATTTTGAGTATATGAGGCACAATGTGGTAAGGGCTTAATGCAAATGGCTTAATGCATATGCAGATTGTGGACATGCTGTAACTTAACTTGTCTACTCTTCCATCATCACTGACAGCCAATACAATGTTATGTAATTCAGATTTTAATACATTTTATTGGCAAAGATAGCCTAAAACACACAATACAGTGGTTTCCAGCATTATCAAAACATTAACCTGTTAAACCCCGAGCCTGTTTTTCAGGTTTCAGGCTCGAAAATGACATTCCCAGAACAAATGACTATAACTTCACTTCTAAAAGGTTTATATGAATAATTGTTGTTATCAAAGCAAGGTTACATCTGTGAGTTGGATGTAGAAGTGTCAGAATCAATATAGATTTTTCTGTGTCAGAGTAAATTCAGATGGAACATAGCAAAAAAATGTAAATTCCTGTCTCCGCCTAAAGAAAACCCATTACTTATAGTGAAGACCAACCTTGAATGATGGGTTAGTAGCCTAAAAGCTTTAGGAATCCAAAGTATAACATAATAAGTACCCTGTATCAAGATTGAGGCAAAACAAGTGATATTTGACTTTTTTTTAGAGAGGTTTATGAAAATAAAGTCCAGGCGGAATAAGCTTTGGGCACATTTGGTTCCATCAGTGCCATTTGACCTTTTTCAGGTACCAGACTATAAAAATCATTGTATTACATTGAATCATCACTATAGGTAAAAACATTTTTTTTTTTTTTTTTTAAATATATATTTTTGTGTGTGTAGGTGTGTGTAAGTGTAGGTGTGTGTGTGTGTAAGTGTAGCTGTGTGGGTATGTGTAGGTGTGTAAGTGTAGCTGTGTGGGTTTGTGTAGGTGTGTATATGTAAGTGTAGCTGTGTGTGTATGTAACTGTACCAACGCGCTATACAATAAAACTACACTGTAGGTCATTGTGTGTAGGTGTACTTGCACAATAAAAAAAAAACGGAAACATAGGTAACATTTGACTCCAACTGGGGCAGATTTATTTCAAACATTTTACCAACACACTATAGGCATGTAAAAACAAACATTTTACCAACGTACTATACAATAAAACCACACTGTAGGTTTGTAAAAACAACAAATATTTTACCAACACACTATTTTTTTTTTAAATAAACACTCGCAAAACGTTATACCTACCTGAACTTTATACCTACCTGAATGTTCCAGTATTTAGGTCGTGCCACTCCCTGAAACAGTTATTTTTGACAGTGAAGCACAGAGGGACCTGGCACTTCCTGCAGTACACAGGTGTCTTCACCCTTTTGAGTCCAGCATCTAGGCCCCTCCTGCAGTTCTTCCTGACCTTGGTGGCATCTTCTCCATAATACTCGGGCATGCATGTGAGTGGTGGAGGAGGAGAGGTGGTGGAGGTGCAGGGCCTTCAGCAGGGCCTTCAGCAAACTCCAACAATTCTGCAGCAAGCTGCTCCCTGAAAGTCTTCTGGGTGTGTGGCTTTGTCCTGCTGGGGTCACTCCTCATCTAACAAATTTGGAAAAACAAAGAGATTAGATTAATTAACTGGCTTATACTTATAGGATAATATTGGACTATAAATGAATAATATTACACCAAATAAATAAGTAAACACGTATATTCATTCACTGGCCATTCATTTAGAAAATGTAACTCCAAAAAGACAAGTAACACTATTTAGCATTTTGCCTAATCATTCCTGTAGCTTCTTGGCTAAGCTAGCACTGTGACGCAGTTGCACCAAACACATAAGTAATATATAAAAACAGAGAGATTACATACCTTTCCCGTGGTGGAAGTTCAACATCCGAGTCACTACTGTCCGGATCCAGGTCTGGCTGGAGGAGATCTTCATCATCCGACGAAGAGTCATCTTCAGCTAGCATCTCTAGCACCTGCTCGGTGGTGAAGCTCTCCCTTCTGGCTGCGTAATGCGTAATGGAGCCGGAGCAGGCGTAGTTTATACTACGCAGGATCATATCTTTGGAACCCATTGGTCGATTTGGGTGATTGACACCTTTTCTGAACCGTTAGAGCCAATAGAATCGAGTGACAGTTAGTAAGTCCCGCTAAACACTTACGTCAAGTAGAGAGAGGATGGCGTAAACAGCATGTGAGACAGCATTAGCTCGGGACTGCGAAACGTTATACCTACTCTGCTGCCATGAATGTAATGATAGATTATCAGGAACAATTCTAAAGTGACTAAGAGACATTGGATTAACTTTAAGCAGCGTTTTTATTCCCTTGAACACGAGCTTTGATTACAAAACAGCAACGGTAAGACATAATTATTGTTATGGTTTTGAAAACTGTTGTTTTTTTTTCTTCTCTGTTCTGGTTGATATCTCAGTGAGTTTGTGTCCTACAGTGATGATACTTATAACAAAAATAATCTGTGGAGTATCAGCTTTCAGATGATATGTAGTTTGTGCAGAAAATATTAAGTTTTAAAGATCGTTTTTGTTAGTTAGCACCGGAAGTAGCATCTGCCCGTTTTAGCTAAGGGCTAATGCTAACGCTTCTTGTGAGACTTGTGTTTTGTTACGGGAAACATTGTTCGTATCGTCAGTTAGCTGAGATTCTTCTCGTTAATCTGGTATAACACATTAATAGGTTTTTAAATATTAAGATGCCCTGAGACACAGTTTCGTGAAAAAAAAAAAACAGGGTCCCTGCCGGCGGGGACCTTCGGGCTTAACAGGTTAAACACTTAAACATTAAACACTTTTCAAGGGATAGTGATATATTATTTTAAATCTGTTAAGGTCAACATAGAAAAGGAACACAATCAATCTTGTTTTGTACAAAATACTGAATGAAAGGGAGAGGAAAGGGATGTGATACTGTAGTTACAGCTGAAACACTCCCTCCTGAGACTTAAGGACACAGTTCGTAATACTCTCAGAACCAGATCTCATTTTTTCTTCTTTGCCTGGACCACCAGTGTCTCCATGGCCCGCTTTCGCTGTTTTGCCACATGTTTCAGCCTCGCCGTTTTCTCTTCTTCAGCAGTCTGTTTCTTGGCCTGCTGAGCACTGCCAGATGCTTGGGAGCCATACTTGCTCTGTTGCTGCTGCTTTTCTTTCTGATTCATCTTCTGCTGGCGTTTGTATGTGGCTGCTGCAGAGTTGATATTCTTGCATAGTGTTCTGTCCACCTCCCCGAACTTCACATCCTCCATTCTGAAGAGCTGCACGGCTGTCTTCCCCCTGGACTGCAGGGTGTACTTGACCGTCTGGATTGCATTACATTTTGGTACATTCATGTTGCCACTCCTTTTGTCAATTATTTCATTCATCAAACTAAAAGAAGACTCAACCCTTGGTCCGTGAAAGATGGAGAGGCAACATTTAACCATCGCACTCAGGGAGGGGTACTTATCTGGCTTGTCAAAGACATGACCCCACCACTCAACCATGCTCTCACCCTCCTTGAAACTGGGGATGGTCAGGTCAACATTGAACCGCACAAGTTCTCTCTGGATGTCCTGGTCTGCTGGCAAGAGGTGCCGCAGCATACCACTCAGCCTGCCAAGAAATGGATGAGAATTTTAAATCAGTTTTAGGACATGAGGTAACAAAAATCGTTAAATCCCAAAGTACCTGGTAATATGGCAAACAAAACTTTAAATGTTATTCTTACCTCTTAAGCTGGATGGTTGCCTGTGAGTGGCCTCTCAGAAGAGGGTCCAGAGCAGACAGGGCTGTAAGAGTCGGACTGGCCAAGGGGAGCTTCTTCTGGAGGTACACTGCAGTGGTGATGTAGGCTTTCCTGACGTCTGCTAGGAATGGCACCAACAGCTGACAAAAAACACCAAAAACTGACCATTATTTTAAGTCTCAAAAACAAATGAGAAAAAAGGTCATGCAGGTGATGCAGGGTACTACTTACAGCATGATTGGGATTCTGGTTCCTGAACGTGTCAGCCTCCTGTCCCACATAGACCTCCTTGGAGGGCAGCAGCATATAATCCTCCAGGACCATCTCCCTCAGAGCCCTGGGAGACAGCTGTGTAAGGGAAGTAATTCATGGGAGTAATACCTTAAGTGCCTTTCAAAAGACCCAAGGTTGCTTAACAAAAAAGGAAACACTCAACTGATAGCACAGACAACAGAAAAGTAAAAATAGGGATAAAGTCAATATACTAATGTAGGCAGAGTGGGTGTGAGGAGGAGTTAATTACCTGAGTAATGTATTCGGCCTTCACGAAGCAAGCCATGAAGGCCAGGAACAGCTCAAGCTGCCGATCATGAAGTCTGTGAACCAATGTCTGGCTACCCTGTGTATGTAAAACAAATTCTTATGAAATTGATTGATTGCCAACATTGGATGTGCATGCACGTGCAGTCAAGTTGCAGTAATTCCAAGCACAACTAACACCCACCTGGAAAACCAAGACATACTCCTTGAGAATAGCCAGCAAACCCATGTAGATGCTGAGCCGTAAGACTGTTGTCGTCTCCTCATGCCGCAGCTTCTGACATACCCTCTTTTTTCTCTCACGGCCTTGTGGAGTCATGCCTGTGAAACACAATACATATTCCTCCTCATTAGTAACTTCAAAACAAGTATAAGTGCTAATTATTATAAGGGATTGGAACATCAAGTCTCATCACCTTTCCTGTTGAGTTCCTCCTGAACCACCTTGATACGGGCTCTTCCTGCCTGGTTGACGTGGTACTTGGTGTACATCAGTTCCAAAGGCTCCCTATACAGCTCCTTATCTGCAGTGGAGAGGAAGCCATAATAGAGGACTCTGTACGCAGGCATCATGGCATGGGTTGCCATGCTGGCATCGTATGCAGACAGCCAGCGATGACGAACAAAGCCCCTCTGTGGGCTGGAGGCGGGGAGATTTAGAATCATAGCTATCTCCTTGAGGTACATCACCTGACAAAAGACAGAAAAAGATTTTGAAAGAGACACATACATAGACATTTTACACATTCCATAGTTTTACCACAGTACAGTACAGTAGGGCCAGCAGCCGTGGTCTAGACTAGAGCTGCATTTTGTTTACCTGGTCTGGACTCCACTGATGGTCAACCTGGAGATCACTGAACAGCTTCTCCAAGTAGCTGTCAAAGGGCTCGGAGAACTTCTTTGCCGCATTGTGTATATGAGGACAGGAGTCCCCATCAACATCGAGCAGGTTGGGACAGTATTGGTGCATCCTGATCTCGAGGCCGGTCTTGCTGCCCCTCATCACAGCACACGAGTCCATCAGCATACTCACAAGGTTATTCCACGGGATGTTGTTTTTCTCAAAGAACTCACAGAGCACCATCTCTAAAGAACTTCACGATCTCCAAGGACCCCAAATGCTCCACTATCACCTTCCTCAAGTCTGCATGATAGTAGCAAACGAGCATGGAGAGGATCTTCAACATAAAAAGGTTTATTAGCCATGCAACATTTTACAGGGCATACACTGAAGCAAAAACAGATGGACTTTGATGGCAATAGCTTAATATGAGACCAACCTTTTTGTTGTTGTTGGAGGTACTCTCGTCTAAATTTAACGAAAATGGAAATATCTTCATGTTGGAAAAGTTCCTCTCAGAGTAGGTCCGCCCTACACAAAGTCGGACAGCTTTGTCACATTATCAATCAATCAATGTTTATTTATATAGCCCAATATCACAAATGTTACATTTGTCTCAGTGGTCTTCACAGTGTGTACAGAATATCAGTATAACAATACGACACCCTCTGTCCTTAGACCCTCACATCGTACAAGGAAAAACTTCCGAAGAAAACCCACAGTTTAAAGGGAAAAATGGGAGAAACCTCAGGGAGAGCAACAGAGGAGGGATCCCTCTCCCAGGACGGACAGACGTGCAATAGATGCCGTGTGTAAATTGAAAAGATAATACATTTGCAACATAGGTAGTCCAAATGTTTGGAAATGCATGTGTGTATAATAGGAAGATGAATCCACGAGGATATCAATCCAGGACCTATGATCCAGGACCACAGCCATGGGCTCGCGATCCAGGACAGAGGAGCGCAGGATCATCCATGACTCCGGATCCCGGCGTATATAGACACCAAAAAGAAATAAATGTGGGGAAGCTGGGTTAATCGGAACATGAGAGTACACAGGTATAGACAGAGAGAAGGAAGAAGTAAGATGTCCCCCGACAAACTAAGCCTATATCAGCAAAACTAGGGGCTGAATCTAATCAGCACTAACTATAAGCTTTATCAAAAAGGAAGGTCTTAAGCGCACTCTTAAAAACGGATAGACATTACATTACATTGCATTTAGCTGACGCTTTTATCCAAAGCGACTTACAATAAGTGCGTTCGACCAACAAAATACAACTTGAAGAAAACAGAATCATATAAGTACATCAGGCTTCATAGAGCAAAAACATTTCAAGTGCTACTCAACTGGCTTTAGATAAGCCAGTCCTTTATTAGTATAAAAGTGCTTCGTTAATAGTTCTATCGCTCGAAGTGGAGTCGAAAGAGATGAGTTTTCAGTTTGCGCCGGAAGATGTGCAAGCTATCTGCCGTCCTGATGTCAATGGGGAGCTCATTCCACCATCTTGGAGCCAGGATAGCAAACCCACGTGTTTTCGCCGTTGGGAACTTGGGTCCCCCTCGCAGCGAGGGCGCAGCGATTCGTTTGGCTGATGCAGAGCGTAGTGCACACGCTGGGGTGTACGGTTTAACCATGTCCTGGATGTACGAAGGGCCAGATCCATTCGCAGCATGGTAAGCAAGTACCAGTGTCTTGAAGTGGATTCTAGCAGTTACCGGAAGCCAGTGAAGCGAGCGTAGGAGCGGAGTAGTGTGGGAAAATGTAGGAAGGTTGAAGACCAGACGAGCGGCTGCATTCTGGATGAGCTGCAGAGGTCGGATGGCACATGCAGGTAGACCAGCCAGGAGGGAGTTGCAGTAGTCTAGGCGTGAGATGACGAGAGCCTGGACCAGAACCCGAGTCGCTTTCTGTGTCAGCTGGGGACGTATCATCCTGATGTTGTAAAGCGTGTATCTGCAGCAACGGGTTGTAGCAGCGATGTTTGCAGTGAAGGACAGGTTGTTATCTAGGGTCACACCCAGATTCCTTGCAGTCTGAGTCGGGGAAACAACTGAGGTGCCGATGTTGATTGTTAGGTCAAGAGTGGGACAATCTTTTCCCGGAAGGAAGAGCAGCTCAGTCTTGTCAAGGTTGAGCTTGAGGTGATGAGCAGACATCCACTGAGAGATGTCAGCTAGACAAGCAGAGATGCGTGCGACGACCTGGGTCTCTGAGCGGGGAAAGGACAGAATGAATTGGGTGTCGTCAGCGTAGCAGTGGTAAGAAAAACCATGCGGGCTAATGACTGATCCGAGCGAGTTTGTGTACAGGGAGAAGAGGAGGGGACCAAGAACAGAGCCCTGAGGGACCCCTGTAGTTAATTGACATCACATGCATAATCTATTTCGGTACAATATAAATCATACAACAGGTAATTGTGGCAACATAGCAGTATATATAGCAACATGGTAGTTTAAGGAACATGTTTTATGTGCGCAGTTCACTAAAATGGAAATTAAAACACTGAAATAGTAGGTAAGAAAGAAAATGTAAATACCTAGACCATGGATCATCTTGTATGAAGCTGTCGTCCGCGACAGCTTCATTCCCTGCAAAGCTGGTTTATCCAAGGAAAGGGTCTGGGCAAGCTCAACAATTACAGGAGCCATAGAAAACGGGATGGAATGCTCCGCCAAGGTTCCAAGGACCATTGCCTAGAACACAAATTATGTAATTAATGTAAAGCTAGTGTATTCCATGTTTAGGTGATGATGCTGTCAGTGACCGGAGCTGATTGTGAATAATAATAATAATAATAATAATAATAAATGATTATTGTTATAATAAAAATAACAATCTCAAAGTGCTAGTGTACTCTGTCTATGCTGCCTGTGCTGACTAACAGGCCTACACCACCTAATTCTTAGACCTATTCATATCTTAGACTGCACTGTAACTTTGATCCATGTACTTTTTTCTTTTAATGTTTATTTTATTAGCTTTTCTTTTTAATGACTGATTTTAAATGCCATTTTCTTAACCAGTTAAGCCCGAAGGTCCCCCAAGTGGACCCCTCCCACAGTTTTTTTTTTCTCACATGTCTCAGGGCTTCTTAATATTTATGAAACTATTGTTTGATACCCTTTTAAAAAGGTAAGAAACTCCGCTACCTGACAATAAGAACAATTGTTAGCTAAAAAAAACACAAGAGTAATACCCAGCCTTTGAATTAGCATTGAGCGAAAAAATGCTAACTAATGCCAACGCATTTTTACACACAACACACGGTAGAAATGCCCTTATTACTATCTTAACTGCACAAACAAGATATACGATTTAAAGCTGAGACTCCACAGATTCCACACATGTAATGTCATCACTGTCCGACCTCGAATTCCTGGAGCTATCAGCCAGAAAAGAGAAAGTAAACAACATCAGGTTCCAAAAATATTACAATAATTACGTCTTACCTTTTTTGATTTGTGATCAAAAGTTGTGTTCAACGGAATAAAAACGCATCTCAAGGTTAATCCAATGTCTTTGTGTCACGTAGATTTTTTTACTGATAATCAATCATCATATTTATGGCAATATGCTCGGTATAAAGTATTGCCGTCCAGGCTTGCACTTTCAGATATGCTTCGTTTGCTTCTCCATTACGTCCGCTATGGTAATGTTTACGTAGATTTGGGAACTGCCCATCGATGCTATTGGTTCTGATGGTTAAGAAAAAGGTGTAAATCACACGAATCGACCAATGGGTTCCAGAGATATGGTCCTGCGTAAATTATAAAGAATGGCAGCCAACTTAAGTACATTACCCAGCCGACTTCATTTATTGTTTACAACGTAACGAAGCAGGAAATGCAGCAGGACCCAGAGCGCACGGAGCGCAGAGCGGACAGCAGATAACGGAATTGCAGTTTTATTGCTTATAGATTATCAGAACATTTCAAAGGGGACACAGCCCCATTGGATATTAATCTATGGATTAACTACATCATCGTTTTTATCGTTTTAATGCCATTGAAGACCAGTTTAGACCAGACAACAAGGAAGGTAAGTCATTGTTAGCCTAGCGCATTAGCGCTAGCGCCATTTGTTTTGATGTACGTTTTTGTTGATAACGTCGCAAGTTTGTATCTTTCAGTGTTGGGCTGTTCAGGTGGGCCCCGTTAGATTCTGTGTCTCCTTGCGATCATAAACAATGTGTTGGATGTGCAGCTAGGATAAGTAATAAGGGAGCGAGGAGTGATTTTCGGTGCTGTAATAGGTTAGCATTTTTCTCTCGGGGCTAATTCAGAGGCTCACTGTAAGAGTAAGCCTATGTTTTATTTTTTTTATTTTTTCACAACAGTTGTATTTGGATGGAATGAATACCTATAGTGATAATTCAAAGTAATAAAATGATTTTTACAGTGAAAAAGTTCAAATGGAACCGATGGTTCCCAAATTACCCAGAGGTGAGTCCGCTTAGACTTTATTTTTCTAAATCTCTCTAAAAAGGTCAAATTTCACTTGTTTTGCATCAATCTTGATACAGGGTACTTATATGTTATAGTTTGGATTCCTAAAGCTTTTAGTCTACTAACCCATCATGCAAGGGTGGTTTTCACTATAAGTAAAGGGCTTTTTTAGGTGGACATTAGAATTTACATGTTTTTACTATGTTCCATCTGAATTTACTTTAAAATAAAAACATCTATATTGATTGGGACACTTCTACATCCAACTCACAGATGTAACCTTGCTTTGAGAAAAATAATTATTAATTTACCCCTTTTAGAAGTGAAGATATATCATTTGTTGTGTTAGTGGCATTTTCGAGCCTGAAACCTGAAAAACAGGCTCAGGGCTTAACTGGTTAATGTCTTTCATTTTTTGTAAAGCACTTTGAATTGCCTTGTGTTGAAAAGTGCTATATAAATAAACTTGCCTTGCCTTGCCTCACCTCTGCATTTGCTATGCGGTTTATAACTGGTACGGGCATCTTTCCCTGGCACTGCTGCCTGATTGTTTCTGACCCCTGGTTGGCTTGACTCTGGCTTGCTGGATTCACCCTGGCTGATGCTGGAAGGAAGCTGCTGGCAACACTATGAGTGGAAGCTATCATCTGCACCTTCTTCTTGTGAACTTCCGTCTGGCAGTGAGCCTGCAGAGCATGGCTGCCTTTGTTAGCATAATTGATCTCTTTGTGGCAGAGTATGCATCTGGCGAATCCCTGCCTGTTGATTTTGATGAATACATCTCCTAGATGAAAGGACACCTCTCGCTCTTTTACTGAGACCTTGCCTTCCAGTTTTAGCCACGACCAGTTCCAGCTGCATTTCAATCCAGCATCCAGCTGTTTAACAATGGCTGAATCCTTCTCCCTTAACACACTCATTCTGCAAAAAATAATGTTTGTATTAGTGTTAGCACTAACTTCTAGTTTAGCCTTATTGATAGAACGGTGGACCACTTTACCCTTCAGCCTTGTCAGTCCCCTCACCTCAAAATCATCAACACGTCCTGGAAAAACGAGTTTTAGAGATTTTAGAAAATAGCACTAACATTAACCAGTTTTTCTTTTTTGTGATTTGCCGTAAGCTATACAAGCTAGCATCTAATAACTTTAGTAACGATATCTAGCTAATGTTAGGCTAACGTTAACGGTAGCGTTAGCTAATCATTTTCCACCGGAGCTTTATTGCTAGCTGTCTAACGTTGCGTTCTCTCCTGCTGTGTTCAATGACTCAATTCATCAAGCTGTAGCTAACGTTAGCTAAGCCTATGTCAACAGAGCTCCTGGGTAACTTATGGCGCGTTTCCACTGCAGCGGGTAGCTCGCTTTAAGCGTGCCGAGCCGTGCGGGGCCCGTTTTTGGTTGCGTTTCCACTTGGCCTAGTTTTGGCCCGGGGCTACTTTTTCACCTTTTTTCTGGCCCGACTAAATCGTGGTTCTAGGGCCAGGAACAACCAGGCTGAGTCGGGCTGAGTATGCTAAACTAGAGAGAGAATCGCTGGCAAGGGAGCTGCAACTACAACAAGATGAACATATTTGACCGTGAATTAATTGTAAAACACGTTTCAAAATGATGCCGAAGTAACAACATACTGATACCGGTTAGTAAAAACCATGAATTAATGCTTTGACAAGTCTGCAGACAGACGGCAGGCGAAAAACCCTTTTAAAATGCGTGTTTTCTAAATGGAGCTTGGCTAAGCTAACGTTATATATGCTCCGACCGTCCACACTCACAACAACGGCCTATACAGACATAAATAAACCAGCGACTGTATTCGCCATGACACAGGCAGTCTGTAGTTTGTACTTGTTTAACTTTTGTCTAGTTTCTGAACAGATATGAGGAGCTGTGAGCTCTGAGTGCTAAGAGCTAACGGCTGTGTTGTTTTTCTGGGGCTCTCATTGAAGATGACGTCACGGCTCCGCCTACACTGCGTTACTATAGTAACTGCCCCAGTTCCTAAACTGTAATGGAAACGCAGCATTAAAGTGAGCCGGGCCTAATAAGGCCTAACCAAACCGAGCGAGGCCTGCAGTGGAAACGCGCCATTAGATATACCAGAAAATATTAAAATGATTGAAACCATCACTCACCAAATTCAGTCAGGTAAATCGCCGAGGCCAGGCGTGCTTTCAGCTTCTGATGGTGGTCTGGATCCCACTCTGGTCAGCACGAGCGAAGCGAACTGCTTGTAAACCAATGATCAGGTCCCTTTTTGGCACGCGCACCTGTTTGCAGTTCACTGAATCTCTGGGGCTGGTTCCGAGGCCGTGGAGGACGGGACCCAATCACTGCCGCTGAGAGAGTCTCTCGGCTGCGGTGATTGGGTCTCGTCTTCCACTCGTCACCTAACGGTGCGTGCCGTTGCGGCCTCTGAACATACCTACCCCCCCCCCCCCCATTAAATATTTTCTCATCGAATCTACACGATTCACGTAGGTCACCTATTTTGGTTTCAAAATGGCGAATATCGCCGAAAGGTGAGTGATTCTCATGCCTGCAGAAATTAGACGTAGATGCAGCCAAAATCGACGAAGGCAACTGTTGTTTTTCCATACATCTGCAGGCAGTCTGTAAGGGCAATCTGACAACCCACACAGCTCTAGTTGACGCTGGTAACGACCTAGAGCACACCCCTCAAGTCCAGAGATGTAATCTGAAGACATGCAGCGATTTCTTCGGTCGTTAATTCAGAAAAAAAAACTTGTGCGCTCTGCCTGGCTACGTTAGCTAGCTGTTTATATTTGCACTTCCAGGATATCTGCACCTCCAGGAAAATGGCGTATTTATATATATATATATGGCGCGTGTTGCATTGTGGGTAGCTCATGACGTCACTGTGTGTGAAAGAATACAACATTACGTGTTAATAGAAATCAACATGTAATGAAATAAGAACCCACGGTTTGATGATTGATAGGTGTGTGGGCTGTCTTTCATTTTGACACACAGAACAATGTTATAATAAACATACATACATAGCCTACTGTATGTTACATGGATATATCTGCCTTCTTTCATTTATCTTTCCATTCCCACAACAATATACATAAAAAAATGGCATATTTTGGACATAGTTCGAATGGTGATTAATCATGATTAATTCATTTTTAAACTGTGATTAATCCGATTTTCACAGTGTGGTGTTTGTACTTTTACTTACCTGCAGCAAGTGCTGATAAATGGTCTAAAGTGTTATTAATGTGATAATAAAGTGCTACTGAAGAGTGTAAAGTGTTAATTAAGGGTAAAGGGAACATACCTGCTCTGTGTATCCGAAGCTGAGGCTGTAAAACAGCGTCCAGAAGCTTCTGGAGTCTCTTGTTCTCCTCCTTGGAAAGAAACAGCTCCTCCTCGAGCTCTGCTATCGTTTTTTCAAACGGAGCAAATATCTCTTCAGCAGTGAGTCGCTGCTTCTTCAACGACAGCAGCATTTGGACTTTACTCATGTTTCCTAGAACACCTTTCCCTGCAGACTCCGTTAAACACACCGTTTCTCTCTCCGTCAAACTCTCAATCTGACTAGCGTTGCTAACGTGTTTCCAGCTAGCATGCTAAGCTAGCTCCTATAGTCCGAGGTAAACGCTCCAGAAAAAAGAGCACAGAGTCCATTCAGAGGTTTATCAAAAACACAGAGATGATGGATCAGTAGAGCTGCAGCTCGCACACACTTTCTCAGGAACACAGAGAGAGAGAACCGGAGCGACGAGACGCCACCTCGATCCAGGTTAGAAAGAGCTGGGAACTTCACTTCCGGTGCGGTTTGAGGACGTCAAAATAAAAGCGGGAAGGATTTCTTCTTTTTGGTTTTAAGAACGATTGGCATCCGGACGTTGCCTTAACACCTAGGCTACTACTGGATCAATAATACAACTACTCTTTCAAAACAAAACTATTATAACTAACAGAAAATACTCATAAAGGAAAAAGGGAAAATAAATAAACATCATTAAGCTAAACAGGTCGCAGTGCACAAATCAAATATCTGTATAGTGTTAGAAATTAAAATCAATGTGGATATGTCGTAATTTGAATTAAATACACTATTGTAGTGTCGAGAGAAAGGGAGTCGGAGGCGGTGCAATTAAGGTGCAAAAGGGTACTTTACTTCGGAGCATGTTGTTGGGCCGCAGCCCGGGAAGACAAGAGGACAAGAAGCAAGGAGGGCACACAATACAGTAAGTGTTACGCCCCTGATAAAAGGGAAGAATTTTGACAAGAGTCAAAGTTAGGTTTCATTCTCCGGTACTTTTACTGGGGTGAGTCAACAAATGCAACACCTTTCAATAGCATATACAACTTGGCTATTAACACTGTATTTCAATCATGAGACTCCTTAATTACCACAAAATCATTGATAAGATAATATAATTGACAACATAGCAGAACCCTCACAGAATTATTTAACTAAAATATAAAGACAATATATTACATATAACTTTGTGCATCCACAATAAACAAGATGGCGGCAAAAGCGGGCTACGCAGTGTTTGCATGGATGTATAATAAGAACTGGATACAGCGTGGGAGACGGGGCCTCATTCATTCCTATGAGAGTTGCTCATTGGCGCATGATGATAAAATGGCTCAACTTTTGAGAGAGTGAAACGTCACAGATTACCCGGCATGCCTGAGAAGTACCCGTATGTGCACTCATAGAGCATGCGCGACTTTAACCAAAATGCTCGATCACATCAAGCACGTCAATTTGCGTACACGTAACAGCACCGCACGTTCATGACAAGCCCCCAGGAAGTGCGCCGGAGTCTGATGAGAATATTCGTGCTGGTCAAACGGCGGTACTACACTTCCTTTAGGTTGCTGGGCCCGGAAACACTTTTTCCCATTGACTTACATTGGGAAAGAGTGGTCTGTAACTCGTTGGATAATTTTTTTTAAACTAAATAAACTACCCAGTATGAACGTTTGTATAGCTCTTATTAAAACAATTCGTTCCTCAAGTTGTAAAAATGTGCTAATAACGTTATTCTGAGAGTTATTTCCCTCGGCATTATGAACGCGCATCTAGCCCACGGGACCGCGCCGCCCGGCATGTTCATGTTATGTGTTCAGTACTACATGATCCTCTTTACCCATGGAATAACAACGGACCATATCGCCTTACTGCCAGCCCACGGAGCTGTAATAATGGATATATTGCACATGTTTGCTGTAATTCATCATTTGTAAAATATTATACTACATGGGCTGTATGATGTAAATCTTGTACCGTAAATGTTGTATTAAATAAAGTTAATATTACCGACGTAGATTAACGTTCCTGTAGCTTCTTATTGCACTTGCAATTGTTTTAGTTACTTGTGGGCTACTTAACATGAATAATCACAGTTACTATCCTTTTACTCCATCACATTTCAAAAGAAATAGGCTATTGTTATTTTAACTCCACCACAGTAATCCATCATCAGCTTTACTTTTTAGATAAAGTTTTAACTCACAATTGATCATAACAGGCTTCAACATATACATTTTTATATATTACCAAGTGGTTTCATGTACAACCCACACAAGTATCATGCTAAATGAAGCTCTGTTGCTTGGATATCACTAGATCCTGATGTCAGCGTAATATAAAAGTACATAACGATTGATGTGTAACTTAGCATAATTTACTAGCTAGCTGTTAACTGCCGCCTCGTTAATATAAATCCAGTACCATGCTGTCATGAATGCGCGATGCTTTTACGTGTACGCAAATTCACGTGCTTAATGTGAACGAGCCTTTTGTAGTTAAAGTTGCGCATGCTCTATGAGTGCACATATTGCTACTTCTCAGGCATGCCGGGTAATCTGTGATGTTTCGCTCTCTCAAAAGTTGGGCCATTTTGTCATGATGTGCTAATGCAACACATCCTCACTCCCAGGTCGGCCTATGTTGACGTTATGTCAAGTTCCCTGTCGGCTTTAGCCTTAGCGTCCATTTTCAACGCAAGGGGGGGGGGCCTTAGCGTTCATTTTCAGCTTTCCGGGATGTCCATATGCTTCTATGGACGCTCATGGAAGCACGGCATTCGTTTGTGTCGGCTGCCCTTAAAGGCAATGTGAGCGTCCATTCTCATTGGATAACGGACAATTGTACACCCGGAAGTAAGTATTCCCCTTACTGTCGATTGATTTTACAGTGATATCTGCACTACTCATCGACTAAAAAACACCAGATTATCCTTGTTAATTACACAACATTGATTGGTTTAAATTGTGTGCAATGCTTTTGTATTTTTCCCCTTCGATTCGGAGAAACAAATATTTTTTCGGAGTAAAGGATGGCAGAAGACACTACACTACCCAGAATCCCCAGCTATCGTTTGGACTACACCATGTGCTCTGTTTGACAAACCCCGTGATAGTCCTCAAGCTCTGTGATTGGAGAGTGTGCTCCGAGGGTTACGCCGAGCCTCGAACAGCACTTGAAATGGGATGGAACCACGCAGACTGTCCAAAACTGGATTTGAACGGGTCCACCGCGTCCCCCCCTCCCCCACCCCGTCCCCAGAACTACACATGCTGGCTATTGTGTTTCGCAACATGTTCTCTATCTATGGCACGTCTCTACTGGGAGTTGTAGTTTTAAAAGACGTTTTCGTATTTCCCATAATAAGAAGTTGCCAGTATTAAACTGTGTACATCCCTGGAGGTTTAGGGGATAGGAAACACTCAAATTTAAAACATATAATTAATAAATGGGTGAAAATTGCTTGTGCCCATAATGGGCAGCATTAATATATATACACACATGCCAGCTAAGGTCAGAAGAGCTTTATTTAACAGCTGGTCTTATGTTTGTGACCCCTGTTGTTAATTGATAACATTACATTACATTAATTGATAAGCCTGAAACATGCACTTGTCAATGTTCAGAGGCAAATTGTGCAAATATGGCAGTAGCCATCGATCAGCTTAAGATAATATATACTTTATTGATCCCAAGTTGGAACATTTGCGTTACATCAGCATGTGTAACAGGTGTATGCAGTGGTGTTTATTTGTAAATCATTTAGTATAATCACACACATTCTGTGTTTTATATTTAACAATTCTGTGTTCTTTATTTATTGATTGTTCAATACCTGACAAGGCCGGAGATGAAATATCTACATACATCTTATAAGAGTATAATACATTATGTATAATATCAGTTAAAATAAGTGCTTCAAACATAGTTAACATTGCTGGAGGTATGCACACATATTGATAGATGTCTTGTAATGCACTATTGAGGAACCTGCGACCCAAGTTTTTCATTCAATGCATAACTACACCATAGTTGTGTGGGCCTATATGATATGTCAATAAACCTTAGAAAATCTTGAAATCTTGAAAGGGATGTGCAAAATAGTCAATATATACAGTCTTAAATTAACTATTAGTAGAGAATAACGAGTAATGAATATACTTTATAGGGATCCTCTCACCTCTCTGGGGGGGAAGGAGCCGGAGCTTGTGCGGGAGGTGGAGCGTTACCAGTTGGATCTGGTTGGGCTCACCTCAACGCACAGCGTCGGCTCTGGAACCTTACTTCTGGATAGGGGTTGGACTCTATTCTTCTCCGGAGTTGCTCAAGGTGTGAGGCGCCGGGCGGGTGTGGGGATACTCACAAGTCCCCGGTTAGGTGCTTCGTTGTTGGAGTTTACCCCAGTGGACGAGAGGGTCGCCTCCCTACGCCTGCGGGTTATGGGGGGGAAAACTCTGACTGTTGTGTGTGCTTATGCACCCAACAGCAGTTCAGAGTATACGGCCTTCTTGGAGACCCTGGAAAGAGTCCTGTATGGGGCTCCTGAAGGGGACTCTTTAATCTTGCTGGGAGACTTCAACGCACATGTGGGCAATGATGGAGACACTTGGAGGGGCGTGATTGGGAGGAACGGCCCTCCTGATCTGAACCGGAGTGGTGGTTTGTTACTGGACTTCTGTGCTAGTCATGGATTGGCCATAACAAACACCATGTTCGAACATAAGGATGCTCATAAGTGTACGTGGTACCAGAGCACCCTAGGCAGAAGGTCCATGATCG